TGGGGGGGGGGAGCAGGGGAGGGGAGCAGGGGACAGATCAGGCTCGCCACTTTTCTTCTTTTTCTTGGGTGGAGCCTGCCTTCCTGGGCTGCTGTCAGGCTGCCTGCACGGGTTTTCTGCAGAGCCCCTGAGATGTACAGAGCCCCGTGCTTCACTCTGCAGCTGTAGGGCAGCAAACTAAAACTCCTTGGAGGAGTTTTAGTTTGCTGCATCCCGAGTCATTTAAGGTGCATTATGTCAGTGAATTTGGTACAGCGGCTGGAATTACTGCGCAGTATGCTGCCGACATGTGCAAACACCAGTACCATTAAAGTAGTGCAAAAGCATTTGACCCACTTTAAAGTGTCGTGCACACAATCTCCTTATATCGTCTACACATGGCCTTAGATGCTGACAAAGTGAACGAATGCTGCTACTCTATAGGAGCTGGAGCCCTGCTGTAGGGGAGTTAGCTAGTGGCTTGGAAGGCTTCCATGTTTACTTTCAGAGAAGTGGTGAGTGTGTATGGGAATTGGGAGAATTGTTATGGAACTCTTACTTTATAGGTAAGGGGTATGCATTTTATATCTATGTATTTGTAGAAAATATGCAATAGAAAGCTGTGTTGTAAATAAGACCTGAATTTTTGTAACTTTACTAGCAAGATGCATGCTTTTCAAATATTAATCATATTTTGTTTTTTATTTCAGGCTGAAGAATCCTGTAAATGTAATGGATGGAAAAATCCGAATCCACCTCCTACTCCTCCCAGGGCAGATCTGCAACAAACAATTGTCAGTCTTACTGAACCATGCCGCAGTTGTAGTCATCCACTAGGTGAGCTTTCCCTTGGAATTGCAACCCACATACTCATATACTAAGTTTACACCTGACACCTTCTTTTAAGATGGAGTTAAAGTTTGTCATGTATATCTGTAATTTAGAGTAAAATATGTTGGAATTATCCTAAAATTGAGTGCTATATTCCTAAGAAATTTAGAATTAAGAAAAGAAATCCAGATATTTTAAGTTACAAAAATGCAGTTAGGTTAACAAACTTTTCTTCTGTTCTGTAGTGACCCTGCAATAACACAAGATTTAGGTTAAGGCATTTTAATGTTTTCAATCCCAGATTAAACTATATTGATTTTTAAAGACACACATAAGAATCGACTCTCCACTCACAACCCCATAGTTAGTTAACATTTGTTCAGTTGTGGCTAAGCTCTGTTATGTTTTTCTTTATGAAATGATAGTCCTACCTAGATATTTTCTACACTGCTACCTCACAAAATATGACCCAGTTATGAGATGGCTATTTTACAACATGTTAAAAAGCTATTCTGTAGTCATAGCATAGATGAGATCATAACTTTCCTTAAGAACAGCTAATGCTAAAAGTTTATTCACAGTGTAAAAGAAATCTGTGCTTTCAACACAAGGGTGGACAAAATATAGCCTGCGGGCCAAATCCAGCCTGACAAATGTTTGTATCTGACCTGCAGGTGGGCAGCTGCAAACTCATGGGATCTGGCCCACAGGCAGCTGGTGACTCCGGCTCTGGCTACCGTATGCTGCTGGGCAGACAGGGCTGTTTCCACCCAGTGCTGATGTGGTGGTGTCAGCTGTGGACTCAGGCGAGCTTCCTAGTCCCCACCTGGAACCTGTCTGCTGCATCCACAGCTGATGCTGGTGCCTGCCTGGGACTGCACATTGGGTGATTGCTGGCCTAAGCTGCAGATATAGCAGATGCCCCAATCTCTACCCAGAACCTGCCTGCTATGTCCACAGCTGATGCTGGAGCCCTCCTGGGACCACTTCCTGCATGCCAGACTGGTGCTGGCATAAGCTGCGGATGCAGCTGGCATGTTCTGTGATGGGGTGGGAATTGGGGCTTGCTACAGCTCTGGGCAGGAAGGAATGAGGCTCACTGCAGCTCTGGGTGAGGGGAACTGGGACTTACTGCAGTTGTGGGTGGTGTGGGGATGTGGCGGGGAGAGAGAGGGAGAGAGAAAGAAGCATGGCCTTCAGTTTAGGAAGTTTTGGTAAGCTGTGGCAGGGGGTGGGGGTGCTGACCCAGCCTGCAACACCTCACCCAAACTCCCTGTGTGGCCCTCTGGCCAAAATAATTGCCTATCCCATTTTATCATGTCATGGGAAATGGCAATAGAATTGTGTCTTTCTGTAGGCTTGAAGCTATTGTATAAAAGTCTTCTCTACATTACACAAACAATTGTTTACGCTCTTTTATGAAACATGGTTGTGTCCCAACAGGTTGTAACATAATGATTTCTTATCTGCATAGGCAGAAAACATTTGAGGATTTGGTTTTAAAAGTGGTGGCTACCTAAACTAAAACAAGGATACAACATTGTTTTCCTGTCTGCGGAAGCAAGAGAGCTATGCTAATAACAGATAGATAACAATATATTTCAGAACTGTGTTTAAAATGAAATTGCTGTTTCTTGTTGTATATCTATACAGCTGGGTCACACTCAGAGAGTGGTGGTGGATGTGTCATTTTCGACCTGGAGGGAAGTGGGCAG